GGACACATGGTACTGAAGATTTAATTTATTTATTTTTATTTATTTATTTGAGACAGAATATCGCTCTGTCACCCAGGCAGGGGTGCAGTGGCACCATCTTGGCTCACTGCAGCCTCCATTTCTCGGGTTCAAGTGATTCTCCTGCCTCAGCCTCCGGAGTAGCTAGGATTACAGGTGCTTGCCACCACGCCCTGCTGCTAACTTTTGTTTGTTCGGTTGGTGGTTTTTTTTTTTTGAGACAGAGTCTCGTGCTGTCACCCAGGCTGGAGTGCAGTGGTATGATCTTGGTTCACTGTAACCTCTGCCTCCCAGTTCAAGCGATTCTCCTGCCTCAGCCTCCTGAGTAGCTAGGGCTACAGGCATGTGCCACCACACATGGCTAATTTTTGTATTTTTAGTAGAGGTGGGGTTTCACCATGTTGGTCAGGCTGGTCTCGAACTCCTGACCTCAGGTGATACGCCCGCCTTGGCCTCCCAAAGTGCTGGAATTACAGGCATGAGCCACTGTGTCCGGCCAAATTTTTGTATTTTCAGTAGAGATGGGGTTTCACCATGTTGGCCAGGCTAGTCTCAAACTCCTGACCTCAAGTGATCCTCCCGCCTCGGCCTCCCAAAGTGCTGGGATTACAGGCATGAACCACTGCGTCTGGCCTAAAGATTTATTTTAGTATGGTTAACAGTAATGGAAGTGGAAAGTAAAAAAAAAATAATTTCCAGGAGTAATCTTTTTACATAGGTAAGTCCAAAAAATAGACTTTGTAAACAAAAATTAAAATTCAAGCTGCTTTAAAATATAATGAAATAGAACTAGCAAGAAACACTGAAGTAGCTATGTCACGCCAAGGCTATATGGATTATCTGAAAATAAGTTATCTGGCTGGGTGTGGTGGCTCACGCCTATAATCCCAACATTTTCGGAGGCCAGGGTGGGCGGCTCACGTGAGGTCAGGAGTTTGAGACCAGCCTGACCAACATGGAGAAACCCCGTCTCCACTAAAAATACAAAATCTGCCGTGTGTGGTGGCGCATGCCTCTAATCCCAGCTACTCAGGGGGTTGAGACAGAATTGTTTGAAGCCGGGAGGTGGAGGTTGCAGTGAGCCAAGATCACGTCATTGCACTCCAGCCTGGGCAAGAAGAGCGAAACTCCGTCTCAAAAAACAAACAAACAAACAAACAAACAAATAATAAGTAATCCTCCTAAAGCAAAGGTACTAGAAAACACTTCAGTCAAATGACTTCAGATTTATAAGCAGGACAACTGACAACAGCATGTAAATGAATTCTAAGGTTGCCAATCAGAAATATTTTAGCTTAAAAAAAATTAAAACACATAAATTCAGCATTTAAGTTCAATCTGAAAGTCTCATAATTTGAGGTTAATATAACCCAGCAAATAATGTTAAGAAAATGACTCATGTTATAGGTGCTAAATGAACATATACCCAATATTGACAATGCTCTCTAAGTAAAAAGGTGAATTTTTCTATTAATACTAACAGTCTTGATACTCTCAAGAGACAATCCAGCTTTACAAATCTAGAATCTGGTATACAAAGCAAAAAGTACATTTTTTAAGTATCTGGGGAAAAAAGGAGGTATCTAGGCAATGCAGGTCAAGTAAACTTTGTGGGGAGGAGAGAAAGCAATATTTATCAATTCAGGGTTTTGTGCTTTAATTACCTATACCAGCTTTGCTGATGTGGTAAGAAAGCACACATGCAGATACGGTTAGATATTTTTCCTAATTTTTTTCCATTTTCTTATTTCCTACATAGCTAAAGAATGCTTAATAGAACATAATTAAAAGGGTATATACCATCTCACTTAATAAGGTGGGTTAGATCAACTTTCAAACAGAGGAAGAATTTGACTTGAGCCAGCAGTTGGAGTAGGCTCAGAACTGAATTTAATCAACCAAAAACCTAATCACCCATAATCAATGACATGGAATTACCACTAATAATTTTAGTGACAAGCTAATCATATTTACATATGAATCACCTACAGTATTCCAAGCTCCCAAATTTCACAAAAAGTGAATTTCAGGTATCTGATCTTAAACACAGAAAGACCTATACACCCTTAAAAACCTGCATGACCATAAAATGTAGGCCTTATGACTAGAAACATAGAGTATAAAATTTTAGACACTAAGAAGTTTCAGGGAGGCAAGCCAGGCGCGGTGGCTCACGCCTGTAATCCCAACACTTTGGGAGGCCAAGATGGGAGGATCATGAGGTCAGGAGTTTGAGACTAGCCTGGCCAACATGGTGAAACCCCGCCTCTGCTGAAAAATACAAAAAATTAGCCGGGCATAGTGGCGCACACCTGTAATCCCAGCTACTCAGGAGGCTGAGGCAGGAGAATCGCTTGAACCCAGGAGGCGGAGGTTGCAATGAGGGAGATTGCACCATTGCACTCCACTTGGGCAACAAGAGCGAAACTCTGTCTCAAAAAAATAAAAGAAGTTCCAGGGAGAAAAAGACTACTTGCATTTAATGCCAACAGATGGTCTCCATAATATTACTACTAAGAAAATGTATGGATACAAAACTACCACCACATTGTGGACTTAAAAGAAATTTGGATTTTAACAAGTTAAACTTAAGCTGAACTCACACAAGTCATCATTTATCTCAGGCAACCAGTATTCTGTACCATCAGGTATCACATTATAGTATAATTACTGAATAACAGACAAGGAAGAATCCTGAAAATGAAATTTAAAAGTGGATTTCTGGATTTGTAAGAAAGGTGAATTTCCCAGTAAATGCAGGAGACTCCATGAGCAGTGCAAAGTAGTCTGTTACACACCATCTTTAAACACATAATCCATACAGCATTCCAACTGGTTAACAAATTCCATAAAAAAATGAAAGTCTCTATGAAGAGGGCTCAATGAAGCACAAGAAATATGATAACCATGAGATTTAACTATAATTTTCTATATTAACAAGCTCCTTTCCTATTTATCTAAATCAAATGGCTTTTATTCCACACCAATAATCTGCAAATATGACTGCCTTGGACTCACAACTCACCCCTAAGGAATCTGCCTTATGTTTGGAATCTTATTTTCACTGCATTAAAGCAGTACAGAAAAAAACATTACCATATATATGACAAGGAATAAGAAGATTCACAAGCATAAGGATAGCATAAACTCATTGTTCAGGAATGTGATTGGTTACCCCATCTAACAGTCTGGTGAAAAGTGCCCAGGGAAATGAACACACAACACAGAAATACAGTCAGAAAATGACTGTAGCCAATATCCCGTTCCCACCCCCACAAAACTCCAGGATTTCTTGACAGAATGAATGCCTGCATCACTTTTTTTTTTTTTTTAAAGATTTATCTGTATAAGGATTCCATAAATTCTTTATTCAGCTCATTCCAATGCCTGGCCCAACTGGATATACTAGTAACTTACGCCTAGGTGCAAATCAGTGTTTTGTTTTTGTTTTTGGAGACAGGGTCGGGCTCTGTTGTCCAGGCTGGAGCACACTAGCGCAAATCTGGGCTCACTGCAACCTCCGCCTCTCAGGCTCCAGCGACTCTCGTGCCTCAGCCTCCCGAGGAGCTGGGACTACAGGGGAGCGCCACCATGCCCGGCTAATTATTATTTTTTGTATTTTTGGTAGAGACAAGGTTTTGCCACGTTGCCCAGGCTGGTCTCCAACTCCTGAGTTCAAGCGATCGGCCTGCCTCATCAGCATCCCAAAGTGCTGGGATTACAGGTGTGAGCCATCACACCGGGCCAAATTAGTATTACTCTTTTAAGAACCAAAGAAGGTTCAGGTTTAAAATTTTTAATTAAAAAAAAAAAAAAAAAAAAATTTTTTTTTTTTTTTTTTTTTTTTTTTTTTAAACGGGGTCTCCCTCTGTTGCCCAGGCTGGAATGCAGTGGCATGATCTCGGCTCACTGCAAGCTCCGCCTCCCAGGTTCACGCCATTCCCCTGCCTCGGCCTCCCAAGTAGCTGGGACTACAGGCGCCCACCACCACGCCCGGCTAATTTTTTGTGTTTTTAGTAGAGACGGGGTTTCACCGTGTTAGACAGGATGGTCTCGATCTTCTGACCTCGTGATCCGCCCACCTCGGCCTCCCAAAGTGCTGGGATTACAGGCGTGAGCCACCAAGCCCAGCCGTTTTTAAATATTTTAATGGAAACATATGAGTCAGATTTCCAAAAGTAGGCTAACAGTGTTTAAATACTGTGCCAGTGTATTTGAGAAGCTGAATGAAAACAAAAGTACCTATGTTTTAAAAATAAATACAATACAAATAAGGAAAAGTTTATTCTACGATTTCAATTTATCAATCAAGATACATGGTAAAGAGAATCATTTCAATTATTTTTCACCTCCACAGCAGTGTTTGAGGTTGGTAGGCTCTCCCAGGAAGCTTGGAATCTTAAGCAACTCTCAATTAGCTCTCAATGTCTCTATTTTAAATTAATCTGCTGACCTGTTGTGGGTAAACATCCATAAATTCTGCCCTGGCTGAGAAACATTTAACTTTTTCGTCTAGGATGAGTGTGTGGGTGTGTGTTTGTAGGGGAGGGGTAACCCCTTTTGACCAAAGTGTTGACGGTTTTCTAAGTAAATATTTTCTATCCACAATTTTGTTGTTGTGGTTTATGCTGCTTTCTCTCCCTTTCTGCACTATAAAGGCTGGCCTCCCAATTCCTTACCCAACCCTTCACCAAGGTCCAATCCCACAAGGTTCCCCCAGTTTCTGCTCCGGGTGGCACCTGACGGCCAAAAGTGAACCCCTGCGGCTGTCGCTAGCTAGACGCGGATAGGGCGGACGACTGTCACTGGGGAGCAAGCGTGAGCCAAAGCCGAGGTGATTTCTGACTGCTCACCGGCGGGCCTCGCGTGGCTGAAGGTCTCCGAGCCCCTCAGTTCGCCCCGGCAAGCCAGAAGTGCAGCTGTCGCGGGGCAGGAAACTAATCGCGGCCCCTGCGCCGCTTTGACAGGCCGAGTGGGGAGAAAAGGGGCTCACTGCAGCTAACAGCCTCAACCCTTGGGCTAGGAAGCCACAGGAGCAAAACCTCCGCCCCGGCCTGAAAGCAACCGGTAGACCGCGAAGCCACTGCCACCGACTCAGTCCTGCCCAGCAGGGGCCCGCCCAGGGGCCACTCCCCAAGGGAGGCAGCCACTCACTCGCCCGCCCTTCCGGGCCCACTCCCGAGGGGACGGTCTCCCGCCCGCTCTCACACACAGCTAGCTCCTCAGGCCAGGCCCCCAGGGCTTCGTCCACCTCTCACCTTTGACGACGCGGTCAGCCCCGGGAGGGGGCGGCGGGGGCGGGGGCGGGGGCGGTGCAGCCCGGGCCGGCTCCGGGGCGGCCATGCTGGGCCCGGGGCTCGGCTAGGCTCTGGGCCGGGCGGGGTTGGGGGCGGGGGCGGCGGCTACCAGAGCCAAGCGGCGGCGCCGCCGGGGAACATGGCGGACCCTCTTTCCCTACAGAGGGGCTAAGACCGGCATGCACTGCGCGTGCGGGGGTGGGGGCGGGGTAGGCTCTAGGGACTTGGGCAAAATTACCGAGGCTAGGAGAGAAACAGGACAGGGCCAAGGGATCAGGTTAAAATTCTTTGCATGCGGAATCAAGAATGAGGAGATGGGGCAAGTCTGTAGCTAGGTGCTGCGATGAACGACTGCGAGGAAACACACCCGCTCTCATGGCATTCCCAGTAAACTGAGGAGACGTGATTAAACCTCAGGATCTCCTACTAATAGAGAAACAAATGTATAACGATTTAGCTACCAGATCTGAATACTAAAGGGTTGGCAGGGGACCACAGAATAGAGGAAGCATTGTAGGTTCTAGAGTGGAGAAAGGACCATCCAAAATGCAGTTTGAAAGATAATTCTGGCCTTTGTGTTTAGAGTCTGGAATTGTCAAGAGTCTGAAGGCACAGAATAAGAATGCAGCTAGAGAAATTTCGGCGCCACAGTTTGTCAAAACAGGTAAGGGGAAGAAAGAAGATGACACCAAGAGATGTGCAAAGAATCTGAAGAATTCACCTGAAAAGGACACAGCCTCCTCCTGGAAGGCAGAGGAGTAAATAGGGAATTGGAAATTAATTCCTTATTTCTGTGCATGCACAGAACCTGGGCCCAGGTGATTATGGACCCTTTATAGAGACCAAGGTGACTGACATTCATGGGAAAGGGGGTAGAGGGAAAAGAATTGACTGTTTATCAAAAATTATTAGACGAGTGCATCCACGACACCAGGAGATATGTTGAATCATGGACAGGGACCAGCATGTCCACTAAGCTCTATATATCTTGATGGTGCAGGATCCAAGTGGGATGGAACAACAAATTCCTGCCCATCGTCCTGCTCAATAATACATGTGCTCAGAATCTGTTCATAATGGATGGTGATAAGTAAGTAGTAGCCCGAAGGTCTCAGGAAGAGTACCTTTCCACCTCTTCTTTGTGTCAGTTTCAATCCTGAGACCCGAGGTGAAAGACGAAGGGAAAGACCAACAATGGGTATTTTCCAAAAAGGGAACCCACAAGCTATTATTTAGAGAGAAGAGTCTCAGGAGTGAGGCACGGGTGAAAATGGATTTTTCTGGCATGGAAGGGCCGTAACACTACAGGGGAAGGGAAAGGGAAAGGCCCCCATGGAAGGAGAGGAAGGAACAGGAGGCATGTCACAAACTTATAAGATAGAGGAAAGGCACCCAGAGTACATCGATCAGGAGTGAGTTTGTAAGAAGAGCTTGAATCCCCAGAAAATCTCCCTAAGGAGGGGAGGAAGGAAGGAAGTGTATAATGTACTGAGTACTGAATGCTCTATCAGGAAAGGGATGGGAAACATCCTAGCAGCAATAGTAAAAAGGACAGCCACCCTATTTTAGGACCCATTGATTCCCACCTTGATTGTATATCCTTCAACTCCTCTCTGGCTCCTCACTTCCACTCAGTCAAAAGCCACTTCATATATTTATCTAGGCCTCCCCGCCCCAGTACAAAAAAAGCAAGAGCATACAAAGGGAAGAATGACAAGGAATTAAATAGAACTATCTTATAGATTTATTAATGAAAAATACTTTACAAAAACAGTATGTTTGGCCTAAAATAGTTCAGCTGATTCTGAGGGTTCACAACAACAACTGAGCAAGTGGTAATAATGGCTGTGCTGAGGATAGAAGGCTGTGTTAGTGTGCCTGACTCCATCTGTTCAAAAGGGTGGATATTATGTTGGCAGCTCCGCATTCTAGGCCTAAGGTTTGGAGGGCACAAGGAATGCTGACAGGCCATAATACCTGGGCAGGGGGCTGCCCTGATGATGTAATCAGAACCATGACCACAGGGCTACATGTCCCCCCAAGGATGGGAGATAGGGAAGACAAAGGGTCAGGTAATAGGGATAGGTGGGTAAAACAAAGAGTAGAAGTTGGGAATATAGTAGGGAACAGAGGACGAGGGCTCAGGTGGAGGTGGGGACATAAAGCATCCAGGAATAAAATGTGACCTTAAGATCCTAAGGAATGGGTATCCAGAGTAATACCATGGATTCATCTTTAAAGTGGCTCAGATAAAACCCTTAAACAGCAGCTGCTTCCTTTTGCTAGGGGGAATGGAAGTTGGAATTTCAAATGTCCCCTCCCAAAGAATCAGGTCTTTTTAGAGGTTCCTGACACCCTTAGGAGAACCCACCAATTCTATGTTAAGATAAGAATAGCACAACCATGGCAGTGATGCAGGGTACCAACGCTGCCACAGTACAGTTTGTTTTGTTTTGTTTTGTTTTCTGAGACGGAGTCTCACTCTGTTGCCAAGCTGGAGTGCAGTGGTGCGATCTCAACTCACTGCAACCTCTGCCTCCCGGGTTCAAGCAATTCTCCTGCCTCAGCCTCCCGAGTAGTTGGGACTACAGGCATGCACCATCACGCCTGGCTAATTTTTTGTATTTTGGTAGAGACGGGGTTTCACCATGTTGGCCAGGATGGTCTCAGTTTCCTGACCTTGTGATCCACCCGCCTCAGCCTCCCAAAGTGCTGGGATTACAGGCGTGAGCCACCGCGCCTGGCCCACAGTATAGTTTTAAATAGAAAGGTGTAGCTCCAGGAAAGGAAAGGAGTAACCTTTACCATCGACTGTGCTGCAGGACTTTAGCCCTGATCTGCTCTCTTCTGGAGGCATCTGATAGAACAAACAGAAACCCTTCTCCCACTGTCCTCCTGTGTCCAGAGCGGGAGGCATAACTGCTTTGCCTCCAGTCGTCATCTGGGGGCATATCTACTCTTCGAGGACCAGGGGTTCGGGACCCTGGAACAGGATCTGAATTCCAATCTGACCTCCGGGGTACATGAAGACTGCCAGATGGTGGGTACAGAGGATGAACAATGGCAGGGTGGGAGGGTGAATGGGAAAGATCACCCCAGGACTGAGCGTGAGGAACCTGAAGGCCCTTGCTTCTTTCTGGTAGTGTGGCAGTGTAGGTTAGCTGAGGATTGCACCCTGGAGTAGTCAGGAATCTGGTCCCAATATGCTGGTTGGTCTCTGACCAGGGTGCCCAGGAGGTGTCTGTTCTGGAACGATGGGGGAGGCTCTGGTAATTCAAAGTCCTTCCTGTGTACTTGGCCCCTTGGGAAGTTTCACCCCTGTCACACATAGCCAGAAACTGCTGGACACTCCTCGAAGTTCCTGGGGAAAGAAAAGAAACCCAAAGACTGAGCATCTTCAGAATACCATTCTTCCCAGAGAGCCATGCCTAGCTGTTTAGCCCAATTCCCTACCAAGAGCATACACACAAGGGAAAGAAGGAACCAAGCTGTGCTTTTGATTCCATTTTTTAAAATTCCTAATATACATCAAAATCAAATATCATACTTCCAGCCTGGGCAAATGAAACAGTCTCATGGATGTTGCCATACCTCTACCTCCCTCCACTATAATCTCTTATCCACTATACACACGCATACAAAAGGAGGGCTCCCTAATATATAGCAAACGTATACTCTGTTTGTGATGGCTATACTTCTAGAACCACCATACCAAAACCTCACTCAGCTTTTCTTTTTTAAAAAAATAGAGATGGGATCTCACTATGTTGCCCAGGCTGGTCTCGAACTCCTGGGCTTAAGCAATCCTCCCATCTTGGCCTCCAAAGTGCTGGGATTACAGGTGTGAGACACTGTGCCTGACTGTTTTTTGTTTTTTCCAACTTTTCTTAAAATGTTATCTTCACTTCAGTTAAGCTGCCTTCGTTTGATCTCTGAGATCTAATGTGGAATGCCTTTTCTTATACATTTATTCAACTTTGGCACTATTAATATCTTGGGCTGATAATTCTTTGTTGGGGTTGGGAAGAGACTGCCCTGTGCATTGTGTGACATTTAGCAGCATCCCTGGCCTCTACCCACTAGATACCGGTAGTACATCCCCTTTACCCGTTGAGAACCACTGCCTCAAGCTTGGACATCCAGCGCATGAGGGGAAAAAAGAGAACATCTCACTTGGAAGGTCAAAGAAAGCCAAAATGATGTTGCCCACCTTCCCCACAATTGTCTGGGTCTGTACACATGGTGTGGGTACTCCATGTATAGGGTCTTTCCAATTCTCCCACTCATTCCTTGTCTTCCTAGACCATCCCTCAGCTGAGACTCAGAGGACAGAAGGAGAGAAAACTAGCTGATAGAGATGACCATTTCTGTTCTGGGGGTGTCCCAAAGACTGGGTATTAACTCCCCTTTGTCACTTAAAAGCTTATTCTATCATGACTGAAGCAGTTCATTCTCATAAGTAGACAGACTCTAGGGGTGCTGGTCTAGACCCTTGGTCTAAGAATCATGGTGCCCAACAAATGATTTAATATTTATCTGGATCAATGCATGACTTTGAAGCAGTAATTCATATCCTCACACCACTCCACCTTGGGATACCCCCTTCCCCATAAGTATACTGATTTGACCCTATGAGGCCCCTGAAAAGGTACCAAATTCTGGCATATAATATTAGATTTGGGGGAGTTACCTGGGAGTCTATGGGGCTCCCCTGCCATGCTGGGCATCAGGACATCTGGGGACAGGAACTGTGGTTGGGGAGGGTAGAGTTGGGGACCGAGGAGAAACACAGAAGGGTCATGGATGACAGGGAGGGAAGAGGAGCTGGAACAACGGTGCCCGGTTTCCAAAGGCTTCCTCACGTTTGATGAATCCTTATAATGAGACAAGACAAAAAAAACATAGAGATGAAGATTAACACAAAGCAGGATGTAGTTGGGTAAACACAGTGAGGCAAGCAAAGGGAAATGGAGGGAACCAGAGCACAAACATGCCTACATGCCTTGTTCTGGAGTAGGACCCAATTTATTCAGTCACTCTCCCTGCCAGCCCTCTAAGAAACTGCAAACTTCAGATCCTTATCCCTTAACCAGTCCTCCTCATATCCCTCACCTTCCCAACCCTACCATTCAGGTCTTTAGCAAACTCCTTAATGCTAACAGTAGAATTAGAGAGATTGAGATAGAAATTTAAAAATAAAAATAAAAACAAAATATGAGAAATTCAGAAAGCCTGAGAGAATGAGAAAAAAAAAAATCCTTATTCTAAGTATTGGGAATAAAACTATATATGTTTAAATGTAGAATCAAGAACTCTGCCCCATCTTCTCTCCTGTCACTGCTATACATTCCACAGCTTCCTCTTTCGCCTGACAAGTTTGTATTTACTGATGCTTATGTCCTGCTCTATTCCCTATTAATTATCTACTTTTATGATAAATACCCAGAAATATTCCCCTTTAATATCTGAAACAGTAGCATATCCAAAATTGAACCAAAATCCTTCCAAACTCCTCCTCCTGGTACCTCATTTTCCTAAATCACCCATATTCAAACATTGGCAATGACCTTGATTTCCTACTTCGCATCCACAGTTCCATTACTTGCCAAGGACTATCATTTCTACCTATGGGTTTTATATTTAAATTCACCTGGACTACTGCAACAGCCTTCAATCTGCTCTTCCTATCTCCTATCCACTCCTTACCGTGGTCTACAAGGTCCTATGTGATATGGCCCTACTGCTCCTCACTTTATTTCCTATCATTCCTGGAGCTTTTACACTCTAATTTTAATGTTCCTCAAACACACCAAGCTCATTGCTACCTCAGAGTCTTTATACTTACTGTTTCTGTTACCAAGAATATTCTTCTGATGGCTCACACCTTCATATCACTGAAGTCTCTAATCAAAAGTTACTTCCTTAGAGCTGATTTCCCTCACTACCCTACTATCAGGAATAGCCCTCAAAAAAAACACTATTACCTCTTTACTCCTTATTCTCTTGCCTTATTTTATTATTCTTTATCATACTTATCATTGTCTGGCATTATATCATTTATTTGTTTATTGTCTTTCTCCCCTATTTCTTTTTACTTCAGTATCCCTAGCACCTTGAACAGTGCCTAGAACAATGTGGGCACTTAGTAATAATACGTTAAATAAAATAATCTATATGCCAGTATGTCTAATTTCCTTTACGAGACTGCAAGCTACTCAAGGGCAGAATTTGTGTTGTTTCATCAGTGTATGCTCACAGCACCTACCACAACATGGCACAAAATAAGCATTTATCATACCGCCTAAGGACCAGGTGCCACTCCTCTCAGCATGTGACATAGCTAATTACTCCTTTCTTCTTGAAACATTCTCCCCTTGGTGCCTATGGTACCACACATCCCTGGTTTCCCTTCAGTCTCTCTAGTCTTTTTTTCTCAGTCTCCTTTTAGGGTTCTTCAAAAGAAGAACCACCTTAAATCTAATGCTCTTTAGGGATATGTCCTGGCTCCTCTTCTCTTTCTGCAAGTCTTTTCCTCTTTTCAATGGGTATGATTCCCAAATTTCAATTTCTAGCTTATATATCTCATTCCAAAAGCCTGCCAGATATCTCCACTCAAGCTTAATGTATGCAAAACTGAATATATATCTTCCCTCAAATATATCATTATCTAACCATAAAACTTGAGTATCATCCTTTACCCCCTCTCCCAACATCCAGGCAGGCACCAACTCCCACTGATGTTTACTTCCTAACTGGGTCTCAAATACATCAACTTATCTCTATCCTTCCAAACTACTTACTGTGACATACAGGGCTGTCTGCGGTCCATAATATTCTTTGTATCCTCTCTTGTCAACACTCTCCATCATCTCCCCTTGCCAGACTTTCTAATCCTGCCATACTAAATAAGCTTATTTTAATTCAGTTAATATTTGCTCAGGTCCCTTTTACCTGCTATATTCTTTTTGCTTCCTCCAGGAAGCCTTCCATGATACCTCAAGCCTGATTTAAATGTCCCTTCCATTATGTTCCCATAGGATCAAATCCTTAATACATTATAATTGTTTATTTATCTGTCCTTCACTGTAGACTGTAAGCTCCATAAAAGCCGGGACTACATCTAACTCACCATTGTATCTCCAGCACCTAGCACAATACCTAGAACACACTCAATAAGCACTTATTTATTTGTTTATTTTTGTGTTAGGAATCTTGTGACAGAATCAATAAGCATTTATTTAAAAGAATGAATCAATGAATGATACAGAAGTCAGAAGAAAGGAAGCCAGTTCTCCTTGGAAAATAACAATTTGCCATTAAATGAATTGAAAGTACACAAGAAGAAATGCTAGGCAGGAGAGTCCACCTTTTCCAAAAAAGAATGGCAGCCTGATCAGAATTGTTTAGGAATTTATGAACAATAAATTGAATGAATCTTATTATAAATTCAGCTGAGTTTTTCTGTTTGTTTTGTTTTGTTTTTGAGACAGAGTCTTGCTCTGTCGCCCAGGCTGGAGTGCAGTGGCTCAGTCTCAGCTCACTGCAACGTCTGCCACCCAGATTCAAGCGATTCTCCTGCCTCAGCCTACTGAGTAGCTAGGAGTACAGGCACCCCCTCCCACCATGTCCGGCTAATTTTTATATTTTCGCCATGTTGGCCAGGCTGGTCTCGAATTCCTGACCTCAGGTGATCCACCATCCTCGGCCTCCCAAAGTGCTGGGATTATAGGCATGAGCCACCACGTCTGGCCTCGGCTGATTTTTAAAAATTAGAAAAATGAGTACCTCTTAGGAGGGAAACTGAATCTGAAGAGCTGGTAGAAGACAGACTTGGTTTTCACCATACATGCTTTTATACCTTTTTATTTTTGTACCATGTATTTAAAACCTGCTTTTACATTTTTCCTGAACTGACCTAGTGGACAACCTTCAGTGCAGTGGTACTTTGTACCCTGACCTCTACTGTAATGAAAACTCAACTTGGGCAAGGAAGTGAAATTCTCCAAAGGTATGATTACCTACAGACCTAGCCACTGATATTATTTAAGTCTGTTGATCTCTAATGGCTTGGGCTTTCCTGCCCCTTCTGCCTACACATTACTGCATTAGTACCATATGAAAATTCGCAAGGCTTTTTTCTTTTTCTTGCTGATGCACATGCTTCACTTTAGATTGAAAACACACTGAATTCTATTCAATCACATACTGGGGGTGAGGGGAAAAAGCAAACCAATACCGCATCCCATTTCTTTCCTTCTTCCTTTGATTAGTGCAGTGGCTTCTGACCCAATCAGCAGCCTTTGCGTCTCAGATTCCTCTCAAGGCCATTATGACTCTTCTCACCCTAGGAAACCCTACAACACACACAGCCTTTCAGAACTGCTACAGGGAATGGACATTCCTCCGGGCTCCAACTGAATGTTTGTAAATAAAATAATGACTGCGTGTCCTTATTTTTGCTGAGTACACAGGGCTTTTCCTCACATTACAACCTTCACTTTCTCCCTGCTTCTTCACCTGCACTGTATTTTTGCTTAGCAAGGAGGAAGGTGCTCTGAATAGATGGACCCTAATTCTACTTACAAAACTGTGGGAAGAAACTGGAGCTTCCTCCCTCTCTGAGACAACGGTGCCACTGAGACTGCGTGAGATGCGACGTAAGTTCTCTGCACTGTACTGCTCATCCTCCCCACACTCCCTGCTGAGGCCTCGGCAAGGTGTAGCCTTCAAACACACAGACACATACAGGCAGACACATAATACCAGACTTATGGTTTTTCACAGACACTATCCTCGGTATGGGAAAGAATAGGGGAAGACTCAGTAGTAATAGACACCTGAATTACATGTACTGGTAAGATAGTGGCCATGTAAAAATCTCCTCTAATTCAAAAGAAGCCCAATCATAGACCTTATTTTTTTCTGATAGCCCCATATCACCATGCCTCTGCCTTATCATCATCCCTACCAGACATATCTTTCCATAATTCCTTCCCCAACACACCACCCCAGGCCCAGCACCTTAGCACCTGAGGCTGCTACCTGAGAAGTACACACTGTTCTGGCTTCATGGAGACTCTGCTCCATTTCTGCTGTTGGAGTCTTTGAGAGACCAGGATCAGGGGCTGAGTGCAACCTCCTCCCCATGCCATCTGCAGAGCCTGAAGAGGAAAACATAAATACAAATTGAGGCTGTTTCTTCTCCTAGGGCCTAACCTCTAAGCCTAGCAGCACAAACTCAGGAGTTGTTGTTTCACTAAATAATAAATATGCATTCCTGAATTCAACGGGGGGACATGCTCCTGAAATTTAGAAACAAGAGGGGCCAGACACAGTGGCTCACACCTGTAATCCCAGCACTTTGAGAGGCCGAAGCGGGTGGATCACAGGCCAGGAGATCAAGAACATCATGGCTAACACAGTGAAACCCCGTCTCTACTAAAAATACAAAAAATTAGCCGGGCATGGTGGTGGGCACCTGTAGTCCCAGCTACTCGGGAGGCTGAGGCAGGAGAATGGCATGAACCCAGGAGGTGGAGCTTGCAGTGAGCCAAGATTGTGCCACTGCACTCCAGCCTGGGCGACAGAGTGAGAGTCCGTCTCAAGAAAAATAAAAAAGAAAGAAACAAGAATTTTAGAATATGGATAGTTTACTGAATGTCCCCATCTTGCTTCATTTCATTTTTGTAAACATCATCAGCTTCTGTCAGACTTGGGCTCAAGACTTACAGACAGAGGAAATTATCTAACACAGTGATTTTCTGAAGTATCTGTGGTGACAAAAGAAATTATCTCCAGTCTAGTTCAGAATTGAAATGATCATAATAATCATCTATCAAACCTCCTCATTTTATATAACAGGAAAATGAGTTCCAGGGTCTGACAGTTTAGTAGTTTAACCAGGATTAAAACTCTCTTGATTTTCAGCACAGTACTCTTATCATCTCACCTGGTGACCTCTTGTACTCTGAGCAGGAGCACCTCAGGAATGTTTTACACATGTAATGCTCTTTTCCCCTTAGCTTCTCCCAAATCATTTAAATTCTAAATAACCACCAAATGCTTACCTCTCTTCAAAATCTTTCTAGATTGTTCAGAGTTGCTCTAAACTGGATTGGTGACTCCCAAGGGGCTAACCCCAATCCAGCTAATTAAGTTTTCCATTCTGAAACTGTATATGCCCTTGACCTACATTTGATACATATGTCCATGGCCAATTCATGTCTTGATTTGATGATGTGATTCTAATATATCTATATCTGGCTGAAGCTGATATTATTCATGTAAGTACTGTAAGACCAGTTATTTTCAGTATTCCTGGGTACTTAAATGCAGTGCTTTCAATACCACCTCAGATTCATCTGGGAACTTTTAAAAATATAGCTTTCTGGATGTTACCACAGACCTGAATCAGAAAGTTTGCGGTTGGTGCCTGGGAATTTTCATTTTTGAAAGGTTCCCAAAAAGTCCAAGAAAATATCCTTGGCCGGGCATGGTGGTGTACACCTGTAATCCCAGCACTTTGGGAGGTTGAGGCGGGCGGATCGCGAGGTCAGGAGATCAAGACCATCCTGGCTAACACGGTGAAACCCCATCTCCACTAAAAATACAAAAAATTAGCTGAGCGTGGTGGTGGGCGCCTGTAGTCCCAGCTACTCAGGAGGCTGAGGCAGGAGAATGGTATGAACTTGGGAGGCAGAGCTTGCAGTGAGCCAAGATCATGCCACTGTACTCCAGCCTGGGTGATAGAACAAGACTCCATCTCACAAAAAAAAAAAAAAAAAAAAATATATATATATATATATATATATATA